ACGAGCTACCGCGGATCGCCCCGTGCGTGGGGCTGGACGGCTCAACACGTTAACGAGCTAACTGCGCTAACCACTAGTTCCCACCCATGTAATTGAGCATTGCGTGGCACATCCGACATACTGTTTTACTTTAGTCCATGACGCGCTTACCTTCAGGGTCATACGTCACATGAAAACCAAAATAGTTCCAAACGCCAGATCTGAATGAGGGTGGGGGAGGTTCAATTTGCCATGTTGCAAGGAGAGCTTAACTTCTGTCTCGCTAGCTTGCCCTGCGCTCAGTGAATCTGCGTTCGACTACTCCGCCTAGGCTGCACTGTCGAGCGCAGATCCACTGAGCGCTCAACACAGACAGCATCGTCAGAAGGAAAGTTGATAAAATAAATTAAAAATTTTGTATTGTTCGATACATATGCGTACCGAACCGAAAGCACTGTATCGAACGGTTCAATATCGATACGAGTATTCGTTGCACCCCATATATTTATACTAGTTTAGTTAGCTAGAGATAAAATACCATTGCTCGTTTTCATCCACATTCGAGATTGCTTACTGTCAAAATACTTTAGTTCAATGCCCATAACAAACATGAGCTAATTTGGCAAAAACTGGAATTTTACTTATTAGTGACACAGCGCAAATTGTTTGAGCTGATTTTGCCCATAGATTGCATGTAAAAGATAAATGGCCACACTGCAAAGCCTTAGCGGATAGTTCTGACCACTACTATCTATGTGTTATAAACCAGCTGATGATAGGGGTCTATCTGAATTGTCACAGTCTGGCGAGGGCAGACTGTAGGTGTTGGCAAAAGGACCCAAACGCAACTCCATAAACTGAACGTGGCGTAGATTTAACAGAAAATAAGCCGTTTATTGAGGCCAGCAAAAGGGGAGTACAAACAGCAGGACACAGGTGAACACTAAACCATAGCCTAAACTGGGTGAACTAAAGCTAAACATGAAAAACCTTAAACGTGGTGAACTGACATAGAATGCTGAAGTGAGGGTATGGATGAGCAGACGACCTGACAAATGACATGCAAAAACAGAGGACTTAAATACACACATGAGGTGATCAGGGGAAGTGGAGACACATGAGGAAACAGCTGACTAACATGAACCTAATGACAGGAGCAGTGAAGCTAAATACAAAGAACCAAGAACACACGACTCCTTCCAAAATAAAACAGGAAACATAATGAAACGCAGACATGAACAATTGACAACGTAAGACACAGACATGAAACACATGAAGAGCAGGGGAGACTTAACATGGGTTGGAAACATGAGGGGGAATTAATAAGAACTAAAATCACCTAGCATGGTAACAAATGAACTTAGAAAACCTGAAGGGCTTAACATAAACTATAAACATCAAAATGAACTAAAACTCAAAACACTGGGTCATAAGACCCAGGACCGTGACAGAAAGTAGATCCACCCTAAGATAAACATTACAGATCTGCATTAGGATCTGCTTGTGCCCAGGTGAAGTAAATTTCATCATTAGCTGGTGATCGCAAAGTTCTATGCAGAAGACCAATACCCTGTCAATTTTTTTGTGACCGCATGAACTCATCAACGTAAACACAATGATTCACTTAACCAACTTTGAATGTCTCCTACAGACAGAATTCAAAGAAGTGTACCATAAATAATGTCTAATTTTTATCTAGTGAATACTAGGAGTTTTCTTTCTTTCTTTTGTTTAACCTTTATTACAACTTTTTGGGGCGGAAGTTGTTTTTTTTTTTGCCTGTCCCGTTTGGTTCTTTAGCCATCAAAATTTCTGTCTGAAGGCCAACAAAGATACCCTACAGATTTACTTTACCAAGTGGATCATCACGGCCTTGCCATAGTGGTCCATTTGATCCATCTTTGTTGTTGTTATTTATTTATTTTATTATATTTTTAGTTGTTAAAGATGGGACAGACATGGCTGGGGTATAGGAAAGGGAGGAAGGAAAAGAAAAAAGCTAGGCCTCCTTCCCAGAGAGGTGGAGTCTAAGTCCCGACCTGACATATAGACACAGACGTACAGGCACACACAGACACAAACATCCATTCCCTCCCTCATGCACACATACCAATACTCAGCACTCACCTAACATGAAGACAAACACTAATGGACACTGTACACACAATCACAACCCCCAACCATACTCAATATCCCAGGTCCAGGTGCCCTCGCCCCACAGGGGGAAACCGCACCATCTCGCACTGCAGTCATGTATAATTAACTGTATGCAACAACAAACTCTGACAGCACTTTAATAGTGTCTTTAATAGTGACTAAGAATCGTTAACAATTTGGTAACCTACTGTGATTCATAAAGTAAGCTTTTGGTGGAAAGGAATGACACCCTGCATTAACTTGCTACCTGATGTGGGGATGTGCAGAGGTGGCAGAAATACCAAACAGTGTTTGGTCTCCACACGTGGCAAAAGCTGAAAGATGTTCAAAGAGTGACCTGATGCACACATAGGTATATATGCACACATTAACATGTGGGACTCTTACTAAATAGCTGCCTTTGTCAAACTCTGTGAGTTGTCCCCTGGTGGTCATTAGAAAAAACATATATTTAAGGAACATATTGCGAGCATTGACTTCACTTTCAGACCCAAAAGCTACATCCAGCCATCTTTTTTTGCAGTCTACGATAAATCATCACTGCTGTACAGCTACATTTTCCTTGTAAGTAATTATTGGTCCTACATTCCACCACACAGAAGCATTCAACTATTTTTATAGAGAGATATGGAAGAGAAAGAATAGGGTCTTAGAAAGATGTTGGTACTTGTGGTTAAGGCTTTGCCAGGGTTTTTTTTGTTGGTTGGCTAAGTCGGCGACACACAGATAGTCGTCATTTGTTTTACACATACAAATGCCGTTTTTACCTACCTACAGCACAGGAGATCGGGCTTTTTAACGTCTACTAACAGCAAATGTTCTTTTTACATTACCTGATCGATCACAGGATAACTTGATTTATGCAAGTATTGCAGATAATCATCGTGGTATACGGCACATGTTTTTTCGATGCCTCGATTAATTTGTCTGTTTGGTAACGATGTTGAGGATTCTCTAGATTTGTAGTTCAAAAGCTGCTTATTGATGATAGCGGTCAGGTGTGCGACGTCCTCAGACAACAAGTAAGTGAAAGCTTTGATCACCTCTCTATAATTTATTAACATTCGCTTGGAGATCTATCATTAGAATAAACTAAATGTAATCCGAAATCTCTGAGATTAACCAGTCGATAACAACAAAGACTACTTTGACAACTACTATAATCACTGTTTCCTAATTAAGTAGTTTTAAACTCATGATTTATGTATGTGAACTTGTATGTTTGTATTCATTTATATTTTTATCACAGGTGTGACACCAGGTGAGTCAACATACTTCTTTAATTAAAACTTAAGTTACTGAGTGCATACTTACAATATTGAGTAGCCTTAAATGTAATTCTTTCAGAGATGGTGATTAATTGTATTTTATGGTATCTGATGATTATGTCAATCTGAATTTTATTCTTGTCTGTTGTGAGGCGGTAGCTGGTGACATCAGGTGAGTTAATATACTTCTTTAAATTATAACTTAAGTGAGCTTATTGCATTGTTGATTCCAACAATAAGCGCCTTTAGAGGGAATCTTGTGTATTAGACACATATAGTGTCTTTACTTATTATTAGTATCAACTATATTACATTATATTTATATTATATAGCTGCCACAAGACAAGCATGTAAAAAGAAGTGAACAGAAAACACTAACAGTAATCCAAACTTTTTCCTCTGGCATCAAAATTTTAGCTGCACATTATTATAATATAAGAGTTATCTCATCAGGTGGCTTTTTAGAATAATCAGATCTGAATTCAGTCTGAGGCCACCACCTCCTTGTTGGCTGTTGTTTTTTAGTTCTATGGTGTATTGTTTTTGTGTTCTGATTCATTCTTCCTGCTATGACAGGCCAAAATGCTTTCAAAAGGATTTATTCTGGTTCTTCATGCTGTACAACCCCAATTCCAAAATAAAGTAATGGAATTGGAATCTAAACAACGATTTGCAAAGTGTTCCTTCATTTTTCACCTTTTTAGAATCACAGCTTTTATAAGATTTGTTGCTTCCATTAAATTTGAAATGAACCAATATATTTTTAATGGTACAGTTCTAAGTTCAAACTGTTTGTGTGTTTAATTTCAAATACATTGAAGTTTCTGAGATTTGCAAATAACTTCAATGTGTTTTTAGTTACCTTTTTGACAGTAACTTTTTTGGAATTGGGGTTGTATTTATTAAGAAAGCAATCTGTAGGATACAGTGTTTGAAATGCAGCATAATGGGGCAAATCCCCTTTTTACTCTTTTAAGGTACCCTCTATCCAATATCTGGAACAACAAGCGCTGCTTCAGACGATGGAAGTTCTCCTCTTATTGTCCTACAGCATGCTTTCCTGTATTTTGGACAGTCGTATAATCAGATTTATGTAAGTAAAATATGTTTTGGAAAACTAGAACATCTTTGTTTTATGCATCTGCATTTTAAATGCAGATGTATAAAATGTTCATTCTCCGGTTTGCAAATCAGTTACAACCACAGAGCTGAATTGTACATGCTTAAAAAAGAAAATGAAATGAAAAAGAAAAAGAAAAGAAAATTTGCTGTTATGAAAGTAATAATGTATGTTCAATTTCAAAATTACTTGCCGACTTGTCATTTTCATCCAGTACCAAAATAC